AATGTTGGATGATTAATTGATCAGCTGTGATGGAGATTTAAAGTCTATTTTTATTATGAGGCAGATTCATACTGAAGTTCTGATCAGACTCTGATCCCTTTGTTTCAAAGGAAGTTGGTAAAAAAGCTTTTGTGTTTTGTGCTTCTTCTGATTGGAATAAGTTACCTTTAAATCTCCGTTCCTTGTCATCATTCCACTTATTTAAACATGTTTTGTTTTCTCATCTTCAAACTGACTGTGTATGTTTTCAGTAACGTCAACACTGTTTGTTTATTTCTCTCTGTGTATAGACTGAATCTCTCTCCTCTAAGGTGTCTAGTCTAGAGTTGTAATGGTTGTTGTAATGGTTGTAGCTCACTGTTGAATATTTGTTCTCTGTGTTGTCCCTTGTTTTGTTTTGTTTTTTGTGTGTTTTGTTTTGTTGTTGTTGCTGTTGTTTTTTGCTGTATGTATTACTTTGTTTGTTTCATCTGTAGTGTGTTATGTTTTGGTTTTGGTATTGCTGTGCTGTACCTGTGACCCCCTTGAAAACGAGGTGATACACCTCAAGGGGCTTATACTAATATAAAAAATTTCTTCATACATGCTTACTTTAAAAATTCAGAGTGTCAACGGTGCTAAACTTACAAGTGTAGCCCTTAAAGGACAATACATAACCCATACATTCTCAATAAATTACAATGTAGTTTAATAGTTTTAGTCTTTTCTTTTTGTGCGACATGTTATAAAGTATTTTTAACATCTTGGAACCAGCAGCCACAACTGCAGTCTTTGCTCTCTGTAGGGACAAAAAGGAACTGAATGACTTCAAAACGGGTTGATTGAAAACAACTTTGATATATCAATAATTTAAAAACATTTAAGCTGTTACTAAAAAACACAATATATTATAACATACATAGCAGCTTTTATGCTATATGTGTTATAATACATTATTAATCTGTTACATAAGAGGGATTGATTGAAGTATTTACTGTTATTTTTATAAAACACCTAAAATTACTTTCAAACCCTTTAAAATCATTTAAAAGGGGATAAATTCAGACGCCAAACTAAAACAGATGGAAATATATAGAAGATAGTTCAGTGTTAATTTTATGAAATCTAAGCCTTGCCATTGCTGCATGTAATAACTATGGTCATTTGTTGTTTATCACATAAAACAGTAAAATGCTGGTTATTCACAGATTACATGTTAAATTTTGTTCAACTAATAATACATTCATGGATCCTGTTTTTCCTCTTCTTAATCAGATGAAGAAGAAATTGGTTGGACTAACCAGAGAACATGAGGCTCTGTTCCACTTTGTCGAGAACAACAAACACATTTGCACTGAAAAAGAAAAGCAAAAGGTAGAAACAAGTTTGTCACCACTACATACATCCTGAGAGTGAACACTTACTGAACAAGCTGCCTATACATTAACTTATATTTTGTTCCCCTTGTTTTTGACTTTTAGATGCTGAACAGGCTGACTAAGTCAGCAGAGATGCAGGCGCGGGTAGATGAAGAGTACTTCAGTATCAACATGGAGGGTCATCAAATGAGACTCAAGTGGGAAAACACGCTAAAAAACTGCTACCAGGTGTGAGGAAAAAAACTTTCCCTAATTTCTAGAGCTCATCCTCTTATTGAGAGGGGCTTTTTGTGAGTGGACAGGTCTTTACTCAAGGACACCTCATTTTGTGGTAAGAGTTGAACCAGTGAGCTTTTGGTTGCTGAAAATGATCCATGAGCACTGTGGCGGTCTAACACTGAGTTCACTTTGTTTAGAGCACCAATTTACTTCACACCATCAAGTGTATTCTACAATTTTATTCATGCTATTTTCAGAAATGCAGTTATTAGTATGCTGAAATGAGGAAAATCAGCTGCTTGATCAAACCCATGATCTTTTGGTTCCTGTATAACCGTTAGTGCTTGTATTTGAAAAGGCAGGGGACTAAGCACTAAGTACTGTACAAAAAGCACAACATTACTTTCTGCTTCTTCTTTTTTCAGATCATACAGGAGCTGGAGAAACAGCGAATTGAAGTCCTCTGCAACATTTTGAACAGATACAACCTCAATATGTCCAGCTTTGGGCAGACCCTCAATCACGTAAGACATTCTGACCTCTTTTACACACATATCAGTGAGTGTACTTAATCTCACTAATATAAATATACTTACACCCATTTCAGGGACAAAGACAGATCGAACAGGCAGTCCAAAGGGTGGACATGGACAAAGACATACAAACCCTGTTGGAGGAAAATAACATCACAGATGTGGACAGCAAAGCAGAGTTTTTAGTGGCTGATTACTTTGTAAGTCTGCGTTTTATTGTATGTGCTCTGGGAAATGTTTCATTTTGGAGAGAAGCCTGTCTGCAGGCCGCAGACTCACTCTATGAGTCACCCATTCAAAGGCATACACAGTCATCTCCGCAGGGGGTGTCTGTTTGATGGGGGAGTTCAAGCCGCATATACAAAGATGTTCTTGTCATTTTGTAACAGGGTGTGAAATGAAGGCTGTTTTCTTTAGTGTGCTTTGGTGTATATTTATTGTCAAACAACTCTTAAGCAATCAGTTCTCCTTTAAAAAATATGATTGGATGAACCTGATTTAATGGTTCTTGAATGAATGTATGGCCTTGGCTCTTGTGGCTTAGGTGCATCAATAGTAGATTTGAACAGAGATCGCCATAGTTACTAATGTTGTCTGTGTGAATCAGGAAGAGGACAGCAAATCCCTGATGGGCAAAAACAGAAGAATGGAGGCCATCAAACTCAAACTCCAGCGCCTGGAGGACACTATCAGAAAAACACAGAAAGACCGTGAAGGCAAGCTCAAGGCTTTCTCCTTTCACATGAATGAAAACACATTGAAAGTAAACAACATAATCTGAAAAAGGCCAATTGGTAAAACTGTGTTTCATAATCGACCCAAGGTTTTTAAAGTTGTCGTCACCTTTGACATTTTTTTTGCAGGAATTGAAAAACTGATCAAAACATACACTGAGAATCCATCTTTTTCAAACCAAAAGAACCTGGAGGACACAGAGCAGCAGCTGGACGAGGTAGAGCACAGCATGTGAAGTGGATAGAGATGTTGATGTTGTGTACAAATGGATATCCATTTGGAACTGAGTATAAATAAATTCACTTTGGTTGTTCTGTCTTGTTTCCTTTAGAGTACTCTAAAACTGGATCTCCTGGAGGCCACACGCTACAAACTCTCTTTATCGCTGTGTGATTTAGAAGGGAAGCCCAGGTCCTTTCACCGATTTAAAGACAGCATAATGAAATGGAAAGATAAGGTACGATTATTTGTTATCTTTAGGACATGAGGTATGTGCTGAGGGAGTGGTAGCCTATTTGTTCATCCATGCAGCGTCACTGGTTTGAGTTGTCAAAAAGAAAAAAAAGTATGAAGGCATGTTTCGTAGATGATTGTATCCAAAGCACTAAAAGAAGACAGATTAAAACCAGAGCAGGATACAGTATTGGTAATACCAATATGGTTACAAAAAAAACTATTTCTCTGCATAAAGGTTGAGTGTAAAGGTATCGGCTGATTAGGAAACAGTCGATTAGTTTGCATATTTTCATGAGTAAGGATTTAAGGGGTCTCATACTAATAACCACCATTTCTTGTCAGATGATGCCAGGTATCCTACATTAACACTACTTGACATATTAGAAATGTGCTCTAGGATTTTTTCTTATGGCTCTTCTATAAGGCGTTTATTCTGGGATTGACAATGTGCTGGCTTTAAATTTCCTACTTTATTAGGTAAATATATTAAAAAGCATACACCTGTAAATAGCTTCTACACCTCAAAGGGATTTACAAGACAATAAGTTACAATAGGCAACAACTCTTATATGAAAAAAATCATATTACCATGTCAATTTGGACCTCTACCACCATGGATGCTAACTTCATTTGATGCTTTCTCAAGCACTTATTTGGGGTTAAGATGTTGAGATAAGTCTATGACCTCAACATGTTAGTTTCTCTAATGACATTTGGCCTTTAAGATCGTATTTTATTTTTCAAAGTCATAAAATAATTGTGCCGTACTCAGAAAAGATTGTTTAGTTTATTATGATTTTTTACAAGACATTTGAGTGACATTAAATTAAAAGAATGACACAACCTTTGTTTTTGTTTCAGGACTGTGAGCACAGCATTGTTCAACTGTCTCGCCCGGTCAAACTCAGGAGGACACTGCTCAGATCCAGACAGTCACTGAGAGCTTCAATCATTTACAAAGGACCTGCTCAGTTTGTGACACAACAGTCAGCAGAAGCCTTACCAAGTGCCACTGTGCAAGTCACTTCTACGACACATGAAGCAGCAGCTGTGGAGTGTGACAGCACTGTTAACGGAGACCTTCCCCACACTCATGACAAAGAACAAGGTAACACATCCCCAAAGAAGTTACACAAGGATTTATTTCTATAAAGACAAAAGGAAGTTTGTCATTTATGCAAAATGACACATTTCAACATTTCCCAGGTCAAACACTACCAGAGATGGTGAGTTTAGGAAAATGCAAGGCCCTGTACGATTTCACACCTGAACATGACGATGAACTGGTGTTAAAAGAAGGTAAGTGGTGACTACACAGTGGATTATCTAAAGCAGAAGAGGTTCAGTCACCCCAATGAAACAACGTTATTTTGAATTGTTTCACAGGAGATCTACTAGACATTTATGGAAAGGAAGAGAATGGCTGGTGGTTTGGCAAACTAAACGGGGAGACGGGACATTTCCCATCCACGTATGTTGAAGAGCTGCCTTTACTGAGCAGCATCAAATCCTCTGACGCCTGATCGAGTCATCAACTACGAAAATATCTAATCATCCAGGATCAAAAGCACCAGCTTCTGCAGCAAAACTTCCATGGAATCAACTTAAACAGGAGAAATACTCGTGTTTCACTGATAAATTACGTGTATTACACATCCATCTGCCCACATACTGGATTAAATCACTACACAGTCTTAAGTTATTTCGGATTCATAATGCATTTTTATTTTTACACCCAAATCGCTTTTCACCTTTATTTATTCCTCATTGTGTACACAACAATGCAATTATAAGAATATTTAACAAATGTTTTTTTAATATCTCAATTTGACTTTGACAAGTTCAAATCTAGCCAGTAAAACTGTACCAGTTTCCCTGAACACTGTATGAGTTATGAAGTGAATAACAAACGAGATAAATGACCTTTATAATGAATGACTGGTTGCTTCATTTACCGCTGTGTCTGGAGAACGACTACTAAAAGGTAACTAGTTAACTTTTATCCATTCTTAGACAAACCAAAGACAGTCAAGGAATGTCCCCATTCCCATCCGAAAAAAACATGCTCCCCTAACCAAGCTTCAGGGTTTAATCAATGTTAAAAAAGAGGTTTTCAGTATAATTCAATACAACAGTGCTCAGAAAAACAAGACGTGTAAATATAACTAACATCAGTATTTATGAATTTTAGCAGTTAAAACGTCACTGCTTTGGTTTTTTATCATCTCAACCTTCCACTCTTAGCACCGTGCCAGAGTAATAAACGCCTTCCGGATGTTTGCCAGGAATGCAGGTAAGTTATTGGTCTCCTGAAGCTGACTCTCCAAGACCGGCAAAGACTCGAGGGCAGGGTCACTCGACACAACTGTAGAAATTAAAAATGTGGTTAAATATCCTTGATCCTTGATTGATGATGTTACAAAAATAACCATGAGGGACTTACTGTTTAATATATTAGCAACAAATCCCAAGAAAACATAGAAAGATAGTAGAATATTTACAATATCAGGACAATTTATATCATTTTTTAAAATTATAACACTGTGAATCATTTCAATACTTTTAATAGTATTAGGACTAATAGTCAAGTGACACGGCACAAGGGAATAAGGAGGCTTTGGCTACACAGGAAAGGCAACGAGCATTTGGATCAGCTCATAGTTGTTCTTAACATTTGTAACAATACAAATATTGAATATTCTCAGCTTTATATTTCACATAGTTGATTAAAGAAGTATATCTTACTCTGGTATGATCCGTCTGCCTTAATCCCCATAGTTACAACATAGGCGCTGTCCTGATCTGAAGGGTTGATATTCCGGAAAACAAACTGCAACTTTTCCCCTTTACAGGAAAGATAAACATATTCGGTCAATTGTGAGAGTACATGTTTACTTCAACAGATGACACAGTCAAGGCTTACCTACTACTACACTTTGTTTAGCTTACCTTTAACCAATTGGGATTTGCCAAGGATGGTTCGTATCTCCATCCCCAAATGTTCCTGAAAGACGAGTCTTGCTTTCCCCAGATTCTTCAGTCTGTCTTTGTTTGATTTATTTTGTGACTCAATTACTGAAAATAGACAAAAGGAGAGGAGTCAATCAGATAAAAAACTGTATGCTACAGTCATGCATGAAGTTATATTATGTACAGTACACCACTCGTTTCTTTTTTAAATATGAACTTACACTCTTTTCTCTTGGCTTGCTCTTCTTTAAGTTTCTCTATCTTCTGGATAAGGTCATCTTTATGCATCTCCTTCTGCTCAATCTCAGAGATCACTTCAGAAATGGCATGTTGTTTCTCTCTCAGTGATTCATTTTTATGATCCAAGTCTGAGGGGGGAAATTGCCACATCAGTCCAAGTATGCTTTAATAAAAACAATAAAACTCTTAACCTGCATGATGACCTTTTGTTCAAATGGGCTTTAGTGTACATTAAAGAAGTCAATTAGCCAGAACATTTAAAAAAATATAACACTGGAACAAAATTATATGGATAACATTATTAAATAACAACTATTAAACAATCTTTTAAACACAGAGCTACAGCTGGGTGTATGTCAACTCACCTTCTTTGAATGTCTGTATTGTCTCGAACAACATCTCATCGTCCTTGCATTTCTTTGAACATGTATCTTCAAAGAAGGGAAAAACATCAATGCTCATGTTAACTTAAATAATCTCAAAAAAAGAAATGCCCGACCCCGACCCCCACCTCAGATATGCTTGGCGAGTTATATGTTGTCGTATAAGACTGCAAATGAACCAGAGTTTTTTAACGATGCTTGTTTTTTGTTGTCTAACCAAATAACTCCTCATTCTTAATTAAAATGAATATAAAAACTGCCTGCATCAGTAGAATTGTGTGTAAGTTACTTTTCATAAAAGGCACATTTCATCTGGAAGCTCTGCAGCAATAAATAGGGATATCTACACTCTGAATATTATTATCAATGCTTCAAATCTATCTGCAAGAGAGCCATGTGTATATCAGAGTATAACATGGATGTTTAAAAGAAATGAAATTATTTGTGCTTTAATTGTTCAACTGTTTCCTTCATGGATTGTTTAGCAACATGTATAAGTCAAAGTACTTATTGTTTAAGCAACGAGTAATGAGGAGCCCCATTAAAAAAAATTAAGTATATCTCAGACATACCAAGTGCAGACTTGACAAACTGCCTGTGAGACTGGCACAGCTCTGTCGTTGTATCAATTATTTCCCCGTATGTTTTGAGCTGTTTGTTGTGGATCTCCTCCATTGCACTGGCGAATCTGGAACTCATGTTTGGATCAGTAATAGACATCATGGTGTTTGGACGTCAGACAATCTGTGATAAAAAACAACAACAGACAGAACATACATTTTAACTGGTATCAAACTTTAAAATGGGACTGAAGCTGAACAAATATAAAGAGGCACTGATACAAGGTACATCAACAATAAATACTGTATGTATTGTATTGTGTTGTGTTAGAGAAAACACTGTTATGTTAAACAGCGTTAAATGGTAGCAGATCAGTCATATGTGTTGCCATACATTTCATTTGAAAGATAGTGGGGTTGTTGTACCAAAGTGTGGTTTTGTGATTTTATCCATGAATTACTCCACAAAAAGGCACAAGAGGTGATATTATTAAACATAAACTACTGCCTGACAATTCATTTCACATTTATAAATCAATTCATTTGTGATGTGCACGGCTCTAGAGGAAACTTTTACTTTAATATGACGTTGTTTTGATTAAGTTAAAAGAAAAGGGTAAGTTAAAAAAGAATGCGATAGGGAAAATGTTCATTTAAATGTATTTTTTTTTTTTATGTATTACTGTTTCTGCAAGTTTATCTAAGAAGCGGCATGATGACCTGAATGCGAGCCCATGACAACGCCACATGCGCACACCATGGATATATTGCGTATGTGCACGACGCAGTACGCACGACGCTGTGTGACGCAGAACGTGTAGCTCCGCCCCCGGCTGGTACATCAACAAACCCCACTCCTTGAAGGCCGTGCAAATAACGTCTTTCTACGATTATTCTACTGTCAACACATCGAAATACAACCTCATGCATATGACAGCATTTCTAAGAACAAAGATTACTAGACAACAGGGTATATGTTGACGGTCTGAGTGGATTAGCACCAGTTGAAGGTAACACAAACGCTAGCTCAGAAACATTCAGTTACTTAGCCGTAACTTTGAATCGCATTGATGACGTTGGAATAATAACAATTTCTGACGTTTACAATACACTTTGGATAATCTAGTTCGTTTAAAGTTGGACGAAATACTCACGTTTCAATGAGCAGCCTTTGGTAAACTCCGCGTACTGAACCAGCCGTTATATTCAAAAACCCGCGGTCTGCGTTCAGGAGGGAGGCGGGCACAGAGCACCGGAAGTGACGTTTTATCTTCTTCTTTGGATTTTATTGGCAGCTGGCATCCAAAAAGTTGCATTACTGCCATCTGCTGGATTTAATTATTACTCACATTCCTAAATCCTCCTCAACAAACCTGTTCTCGAGATATTTAAACAAGCATCTTCGGCCTCTCCCCACACTCCAAAATACTTTTTATGTGCTACATACTTTCTACATTAATAACTACATGTTCAACTGTTTCTGCTAGATTGCATATCTCACAAAGACCAGATGAATGTTTTCCAATGTAGAGTGCTATTTAAATGACTGTGACTGATTCTTGAGCTGGTCATTACGACCCCCTCTATTCTGTTGCTCCCTCTGTATTTTACTTTATTTATTTCCCTCTGAACTGAGGATAAATGTCTTCACTTTGTCTGATTGTTCCAATATTGTTGCGTGATGTTGTATCTGTTCTCCTTCCGCTTAAAGAAACAGTTACAAGTAAATACAAATAAAGTTAAAGTTCTGTGTTTCTAATCCATAACTTGAAATACTATGAAAATGATTTGTTTCCACGCGAACAATACAAGCGCGAACGTGGGTGGTTTCTCCCTTCTCCCCACGATGCAGCTTTTATACTATGCTTTTATACTACCACCTTGTGGTGAATCTCAGGAGTTTCAAGTTGCTCAAACTAGTCAATGTCTAATTTTCAAAATATTGCATCAATATACTGTACTTGGCAATTTTGAAAATGCAAGTGCTCTGAAAAGGCAACTATGGCTTTAAAGTGAAAAGAAAACACTGATTGTTGTTTCACGTAATAACTTTTGATGCCAGATGGGCTGTGTTTTTAGCAACACTGGAAGCCCATTTTGTTGCTATGTTTACTGAGAACAAGAATATTAATGAGGCTGAAGGGATGCTGGGGATTACGTGGGGCACTGTCTCTGTTAGTGTGTTCAATGGCTAATATGTAACAACTGTAAAAGCAATGGTCTGTAAAACATCTAATGGATACCCAGCCGAGGTGCAAACAGTTTCTGTAACATTTCTTAAAATGCTGAGCTCTTGTGACTTGGAAACACATTATTTTACTCCTTTTTGGTTCAACCTGAAGAGCTTGCAGTTGTTACCATGGTGCAGTTGGATGATTTACAATGTCAGGCTGGGATATAAAACTATCTTAGGTGTAAACGTGGTTCATGGGGCTTTGACTGGTGCTGAAGAAGCTGCTGTGGCACTCGGGCACACAGCAAGAAAACCTCAAATGGACTTTGTGTACAGCAGCGGGGTCCTTGTTATACAGCACCTCCAAGAAAACTACAGGGAATACCATGACTTCCTCAATTACATGTCAACTGTTGGAGACCCTCGCAATATTTTCTCTGTGTATTTCCCCCTCTGGTTCCATCTCAGTCATACTGTTGGCATCAAGATGATATGGGTGGCAGTTATTGGAGATTGGTTCAATCTTATTTTCAAATGGTAAGCAAGTTTTAGATATTTTATCTGAAAGAGCAGTTTGTGTCTTTACCAGATTTTCATCCAATTTTTTTTTTTTTTTCAGGATTCTGTTTGGGCAGCGACCTTACTGGTGGATACAAGAAACTCACTTCTACAACAATGATTCATTCCCACATTTGGAGCAGTTTCACATTACGTGTGAAACAGGGCCAGGTAAGCACACAGTGTGCAGAATATTTCAACCTAAACCAGTCACACTATCTTTCACTGTCAGATTATTTTCTTTGATGTTTCTTAATGCAGGAAACCCGTCTGGTCATGCCATGGGCTCGTCATGTGTGTGGTATGTGATGATCACCTCTGCTCTGAACTTTAGCAGGCCATCTTCCACTGTCACTTCAGTGCAGAGTTCTCAAAGGTACTTGTTTACTTTCGTATCCTTACATCACTAAACTTTAATGTTTTTTCATTTGTGGTCGGGTCTGAATATTTCCAAACTTTCAGGTTTTGTCTTCTGAAGTCTTGCCTGTGGATGGTTTTTTGGATCATTCAGATAAGCGTTTGCATCTCGAGGGTTTTTATTGCAACGCATTTCCCACATCAGGTTGTCCTCGGTCTATTAGCAGGTGAGTCTCATATACTGATGTAAAAAAAAAAAAAAAACTTTTTGCTTTATGATATGCCAAGAAAGTTGTTAATGTCATCTTTATTGTTTTCTTTTTCTAAAATATGTAGGTATGCTGGTTGCTGAAGTGTTTGATCACATCCCCTCGTTGTACAATGCAAGCCTGAAAGCGTACCTCCACACAAACATTTTCCTTTTCTGTGTTGCTGTTGGCTTTTATCTGCTCCTCCAATCAATGGACATCAATCTATTGTGGTCAGTTACTAAAGCCAAGAAGTGGTGCGCTAACCCTGATTGGATCCATCTTGACACCTCACCTTTTGCTGGTCTAGTGAGAAACTTGGGAGCGTTGTTTGGTCTGGGCCTCGCTGTTAACTCTCAGATGTTTATTCAGAGCTGTAAGGGAAAGAATGCCTACAAAAGTAGATTTAAACTCATGTGTGTGACAGCAACTCTCACATCTCTGAAACTTTATGACTTGATCAAAATGCCCACGCACACTGAGCTTCTGTTCTACATCCTATCGTTTTGTAAGAGTGCTTCAGTTCCTTTTGGTGTGGTTGCTGTTATTCCTTACTTTGTGCATTTGCTGATTGGAGATGAGAGGAAGCTAGCTTAGACTGTGCATGAATCATGTACTTTTGCACCTCCAAAACTCATCACAGGTTAAATAAAAATAAAAATATCAAAGAGGTTAGGTCCTTTTTACAGACAACCTGTTAGACTGTTATTTACAGTTATTGCACAGTTACATAAGCACTGAATTTGCAATAGTACATATTGAAATAAGATTCATACCTTTGTAAGAATGTTACATAGACTGTTTTGTGGTTAACTTGAAATGAAAGTAGCAATTGTATCATGTGTAGGGTGCCTATTGTTTTGTCTTTTCGTTGTTTTTTGTTTAGCATGTACAGTAAAAGCCAGTGTGAATGTATAAGTAAAGCTTTTATGTCATGATGTTTGAAATAAAACTGATAAACTTTTGATCATATTTGCTTTGTTTTTTTTAACACTCCTTATTTGGAGAATATATTACATAACTTGAATTTCCTTAAATGTTTTTCAATCTAAAATGAAAGACATGGAAGTAGATTCTATAGGAAGCCAATTTTTGTTTTTGCTCGACTGCTTGAACTACTCACTCCCAGATTTGACTTATAGATGGTTCTATTTTAATGTAAAATTTGGTGTTTTGTAAATTGTACTTTGTCTCTCTTTGTGTCTCTGTTTGTGTTTTGGTTGCTGCCTGTCTTGGCCAGGTCTCCCTTGAAAAAGAGGTTTTTAATCTCACTGGGACCAACCTGGTTAAACAAAAGGTTAAATACAGTTTAAAAATTGGAGACGCTTTTGCCCGAAGCCAGTAAAAGTTAGCCTATACTCTGCAAGAGCAAAGTGTATAATGACTTTCACAGATGCTATCAATACATGTTGTAAAGGATAACACGTTTTGACTATCGAATTGTAAAAATCGTAATTTAATATAAAAATAAGTCACTCTAATCTAGGCCTGAAAAAAGGTCGAACCTGTTATTTAACATATCTTTCAAAGTTTAAGTTGTTTTATAAATCCTCATGCTATCTTGCTAATTATTGCAAACATTAGCCTCAGTCCAGCATATCTGTGACAAAGCACAAAGTGAGATATTACACCATGTTACTCAGATCAATCATTGCTGCTGCTTTGCTGAAAGATGTTTGACTTAACTATATAACTATACAATGAATGCAGATACTTCCACACTGGTGCACTACATGGTACAATTATACACTTCACAAGCAGTCATTGGTTCAGAAATCTGAGGCACTTGTAAACAAAACACATTTGAAATAAGCATTATGGTAAGATGACAAGTCCTTTGTCGTATTTTTAACAAGTGGGCAAGTGTCTGAGCAATGCCGGTAATAAGGGGGGATAAAGGGTAAAGCTTTCTGGGGCCCCGTCACATGGGGAGGGCCCATGGAGGTTAGCAAAAAAAACATGGTCCATCCTAATTTAAAGTAACAATGACAACACCTTTTATTTATTGTCTCTTCTGTGAAATGTAGCCTGTTTTAGAATTTAAACCCCCTCTTCTTAAAATGTGAAATATAGCAAGTGCTAACGCTACATCTCGAATGTGTATGTTGATTTAAATCACCGGACCTTTCCGTGGCCCTGGCATTTCTGCAGGCAGAAATGTGTGGCGTACACTAACAGAAAGGTACATGTCTGAATGCTTAACCCTAAGGGTATCATCTTGTTGGAGTAAAGGGTCACTTTAAATTAATGAACGTTTTTCTGAGTGTTTCCTTTGTCATGATGTCACATTTCTTAAAAATCTATTTTGAGGCGATAGTTTTATGTTAAGACTTTCTTGTTATTGTTGCATTTCGTTATTGATAATGTTGATCTTAGTTTTTAGTCAACCACTGATTTAAGTTGTTTCTCCTTAATTATTATTATTAGGACTGCCTGTTCAGAGCATTTTCACAGGTGTTATAAAGTGCTATATTTCTTTGGAGATGTTTCTTCCAAGATGACAATGACCCAATCCTGGGTATGAGAGGTCACCTAATGGTTTGATGAGTATAAAATGATGTGAATTATATGCTTTAATTTAACAATCACCCTATCCCAACCCAACTGAACACCTATGGGTAACTTGCAGTGTCACATTTCTCAATCAGAGTTCCAGAGACTTCAGGGGAGCACATGGAAGCATTATGAAACCTTTATTTGATACTTCATGTATTTTTCTTTTATTTCTACCCTGTACTTTTCTAAACTTCCCTTCGTACCCCAGGACGGACTAAATTATCCAGAGCCTCCCTCCTGCTCCCCTCTTGGTGAACTGTAGCTCAGTGCATGTCTTATGCTCTGTACAAATTACATAATCTGTGGTGGGTTGTTGAGTTCATTCAGTTCAATTCAGATATTAATCAACCAGAAATGTAATGAGGTAGAACAGAGTGTCTGATGTAACTAGATTAGGCAGATTAGTTCAACTCTCTAGTTATATAGATTTCCACATTGTGCCTTCAGTTGCCCAGCATCCAGTGGCACCTGAAAGCTGGCATTAAATGATGTAACTGTCCTAAGTGCTGAAGCTACCTGCTAAACCAAGCTTGAAGAAACATCCGTGTTTGAGTGTGTGTGTGTGTGTGTGTGTGTGTGTGTGTGTGTGTGTGTGTGTGTGTGTGAGGGAGACATTACATAGGACCGAACTTTGGTTAAATGTTTTTGTGTGTGCATCATGTGACTACATGATGCACACACACCACACATTCCAATCTGCACATTGCACTTTGACACCCTGGACACTTTACACACTGACACTTTACACCGTTTACATTATTCTATATTCTATATTTTGTATATTAAAATATTTATTTATTTATTTATCTATTTTACTGTATTTATGTGTATTAGTAATTTGAATGTTTATTGCATGGCCTTGCGGAACAGTCTTTACAGTTCACTGCACATCTGTATGAGCATGTGACAAATACAAATCTTGAATCTTGAATCTTGAATGTACAATGCAATAACTAATGCAATAACAGACTGTAAAATATTATTTCCCTCACGGATTAATAAAAAGTAATGAAGAGAATTGGGATTTCTCAAGATTTTTTTCTGTCTCTGAACTTTAGACGGCCTGATTTATTCACTGCCCAGGCTTAAACATTCATTTTCAAGTGAAGTAGACTCCAACAGTAAAAACATGGCCAAAAGTCATTACAAAAATCTACTAATAAAAAATGAATATACAATAAAACGTTTTTCAAAATAAAATACATAATTACTCAAACTGATTGTTCTAACACACAATCCTGTATATGCCAAAGCAATAAAATGTCTTCCGATGGTTTGTATACAAGCTCTGTAATGTTAGGAAATACTAAGCAGGCTTTCAAATAAAAATGCTTCAATTTAATTTTTACAAAAAGCCCTGTGCAACGATTTCATAAAATACTTTTATGTATTTGTAGGTGCCTAGCTGATTGGAGCCCCTGTTGTGACCAGTTTATAATAGGCCCCCCTCATAGCCATTAGTGTATCATGTGTGCCTTGTTCTATTACAACTCCACAAGACATCACTGCTATGATGTCAGCGGTCTGTATCGTAGACAGCCGGTGAGCAATGACGATGCATGTGCGACCTTTTCTCGCCTCATCCAGTGCTGTCTGGACAGTCTGTGGGGAAAACAGAGCCATCATGAACCCAGTCTTTTAGTAACTCATTTTTGTGCCTCATGTAAACACGTAGAGTTAACATCATAGAACAATTATTATTTTAAGGAATACATGAATGCTATTGCTGTTTTAAGGTTTTAAGAACTAGATTACCTTTTCACTCTCTGTGTCCAGAGCAGAGGTAGCTTCATCTAGTAGCAGGATTTTGGGGTTCCTGACGATGGCCCGAGCGATGGCAATACGTTGTTTTTGTCCTCGCGACAGCTGGGAGCCCTGGGTGCCAACCTGAGTCTCATATTTCTTCAAAATGTATTGATTAAAGTGGAGAAAGTTGAGGAGAGCACACAAAGGTTAATGCAATATTATCTGCTACAGACAAATGATGAAACAATCTGTTAAAACATGTGAGGTCTTGCAACGTCTGGTAAGTACAATAAAAAGTAAAGGAGCTGTATTTTACAGTCTTGCCTATGTTGTATATTCCCTGTTCCATGTTAAATGTCTGAAATCTGTTATATAGATATGTCCATGTATGATACTGTCTTATATTTTGATGTCTTGTTTCAATTGTTTTTAAATCCCATGTGATCTTTAATTTGCTCATTTAAGTCCCTGCTGTCATGTGTATGTTTCTTTGTCCTATTTGTTCAAAATTTTATTTAAAAAAAAAAAAATATATATATATATATATAAAAAAAAGTAAAAGAGCATACAGTCAATACAGTTTCAGAAACAACTTACCATTTTGAAAGTAAAAAAGCTGCTTACATTGACAACCTAGTCATTTCGGTTTGAAAAGGCAACGCATGCAAAGTAATATCTAAGCATTGTGTTTCCACTCACATCTGGCAGTGTCATCACAAAGTCATGAAGGTAGGCTTTCTTAGCGGCCTCCACAACCTCCTCCATGCTGACACTTGTAGTATTATCTCCATACTGAATATTCTCTGCGATGCTACAGTCGAACAGCACTGGCTCCTGAGACACGATGCCAATCTTAGATCTTAGGAAGGGCACGTTCACCATATGAGACGGGCGATCATCAATCAGCTGAAATGAAGGATTAACACAATTAAGAGTTGCTTTAGAATGGGTAAACCCATTTTTGGGATCAATACAAACAATGTCTGAAATAGTCTACATACCACTCGCCCTTCATCAGGGTCATAAAACCTCTCCAACAGTTGAACACTGGTGCTTTTCCCACAGCCGCTGCTCCCAACAAATGCCAAAGTCTGACCTGGCTTCACAGACACAACCAGGCCCTTCAACACCTGGATATCTGGACGAGTTGGATAGGTAAACTTGCAATTGAGGAACTCTATTTCCCCTCTGAAGGTGTCCTAAAGATGGATAACAAGGCATATAAGTTTAAAAGTAACATCAAGGAAAAGTTACTTCCTACAGTATGATGTAAGCTTTGGCTTGTTAACAGAAATCACTTACCCATTTCTCTCCAGCTGTGTGGTTTGTGCTGATTTTAGGGACTCTGTCTATAAGTTTAAAAAACTGAGAGGCAGCAGTTTTGGCTTTGGCGTAATCTGGAGTGAAAGAGGACGCTCTTCCCAGTGCTGTGCCACTGATCACTACTGCAGAAATCACTCTGAGGAAACACCATATGAACACTGTGTTAACATGAGGACATCCTGTCACAAAACAGAAAACACATCATATTGTCTAAAAAAAGACAGATTTCCATAAAATAACTACTTTTACCAACCTGAAAACTATCATGTATTGT